GCCACTATCCCGCAGGGAATCATCAAGCACCGAGTCAAGCACTTGTGCGTAAGCCAAGAAGTACGAGGCACCGGGGTCCGAGGGCGGGATTCGCTTCCTATCAGGCGCAAAGAAAGCTTTAGACCACGAGCGAAGGATAGAGCCTTGAGGCCGAAGCGCACGTATGGCCTTTGTGACAACCGACATGGGGTCCATTGCAACGTTCTGCCACAAGACATCCGTGTGCTCCTTGAGCAGTTTGATCTCAATGCACGTTGTGGCAGGCATGTCCAAGTGGGTCTGGGCACACTGCAAGTTAAGATCGTACTTGACCTCACCAAAGTTAACCACGGACGCACGGAGGATGATGGGAGTTTCTCCATGCACAGCTGGTAGGTCAGGACTCGGTCAGTGTACCTGTGCTCAAACTGGGTCACACAAACAACCAACATGGCATTGACTGAGAGCGGGGACGGGGGCATGAACGCTTGCAGCTGGGACCACCCCATCACGTACAACCCCGGACCATCGTTTGGAAACCGAGAGGCCTGGCGAGCAACGAGAGAGCTCCTGTTCTCAAGGTTGAACAAGTCAGGCTTTACAACTACGACGGATGGGTCGATGAGCGATATGGGCGCCCCCCCTTTGCGAGGTTCCCGTGTTCTTTTTTGGCGACTGTTGGACTCAGCAGGCTGTGTCTTCTTACTCTGCTGGTGTACGCGTAGCTCCTGCACATGTACCAGCCTGACTTTGTGCTCACTAGCCAAATCCTTAAGATCCTGCCATGGGTTGGTGGATTTGAGGATACCACGGATAAGGTCCAGGCCAATGGCGTCAACGACCTGTTTAGATCGACTGGCAATTGCGTCTGCTGACACCCCATGTTCCAGGAGGAGTTTGGCGACACCCTCCTTGACAGCAGCATCCCCGTCTTTCTGACCTCCACCAAGCAATGGGAAGGCCCGGAAGCGTAGCACAGAGTTAGTGAAGAACCTGCATTGGATTGTGTCCTTCACCGGCTTGGCATTGCACCATGGCTGACACGCCCTCAGCGGGAGGCCATACAAGGAACTCAGCATTGCGCGGAGTTCCCCTACAGTGGCATCAGCCCTCACACGGATGGTTCTGGGCACTGATTGATGAGGCATGGCAACCTCAAGGTCAACATGGTGAAAACCACGCAAACACAGCGCGTTGGCAAGGCCTCTGATTACGACACATACTACGACGCACAGCACGACAGCCGGCAACACAGCCGCAGGGAGGAACGCAGCGGCGCAGCTTGTCAACACCGCTAAGACACTCAGGGAGGTCTTCTTCCACTGCAACCCAAAAGGCTGCGCACACGCATCACTCCAGCTGGTGGCAATGTAGAGTGTCCGAAAGTTTTGACGCGCCTGGTAAGTGGGTTCACAGTGATGAGTGGCATGCCAGCGCGAAACACGTGGACGACACCACAACCGGCAGCAAACTTGGATGGTCGACAAGCCAAAATGGCCGAGACGGTTCCAGGCTTCACCAAGGATTGGGCCAATAGGGGCTCCCGTGATAGGCACACGCAATGCACAGTACGGCTGGGATGGCGACAACTGCATAGGCGCACCAGAAAACCCAGCCACAAGGCGGCTCACCAGGATTCGTCGCCGAAGTGCACGTACTTCCATACCGTGCGAGGTACCAGGCACACAAGACAACCAGGCAGGCAATCCTAATCGGGGCGAAAGGCAGCTCATGATGCAGGGTCGGCTGATGGACCTGGTTGGACACTGTTCCAAAGCCAGGCGTCAGTCCAGGTACGGCATGCATATCGTCATTTTGGCATGGTGCTGTAATGTGGTCATCAACGGACGATACAGACATGCACTCAACCTCAGTGGGTACGAAATGCACACGTGGGGCTGCTGTATTAGCACACAGGGCATCACTACTTGGAGAATGCTCACAATCCTCCGGACGGGATGATTGGCAAGGGCAGCACCGCCCGCCCTTTTCCTGGCAAATGGATTGGCTTGCATCGGATCACAGCTCCTGGGAACAACTGGCCCACGTCCTCACACACCTTACCATTAATGCAACATTTGAATGTGGCTTCGGGAAGGTCAAGGGTTTTGGCAGTCCGTAGCTTCAACAGGCAAAGGTCCCACTTTGGGTGGACCTTCATGGGCACCGTGTTGGATTTGAAAGGATGAACAGCAAGCACCTGGAACGTCCCCTCCAGATCATGCGCAAGGACAAGATTGGGAGGCAACACAGGCTGCTGAGCAGCTGGGACACCATGGGTGCACACAATTGGTTGGTCCGGCGGCCATGTGACGGGCCATTCGTCATCTCTTACAACTCTATCCTGCACGGTGACGTGGAGGAGTCCTACCCGCACTCCAGCCAGGGCCGCAACATGTGCTTTGATGTCAGCACATGTCCACGTGGCATCAACACTGATGGACCCTTGGAGATCACAGGAGCTCATGACAAAGCGCTGTATCGCAGTCACGAAGTGCACTGTCAGCATCAACATGGGCTCGAACACAACCCTTGTGGTCCAGGAGACAGGATGGCTGTTGGCCCAAAGGGATCGGACCATGTCAGGACCCACATGCGGCAGGACATCTTTGACAACATCACCTAGCATTTCCCCAGAATACTCCGTGGTACACTTCCACCAAGAAGCACTTGTGGCAGTCACAACCGTTGGGACTTGGGCGCTCAACGCAAAGGATGTCCAGTCACGAGGCAGGCAGCACGGATCGCTTGATTCACACGTGAGCCTATCTGACAAATGTGCCCTAACATCACGGAGAGGCAACTCACTTGGGAAAGCCAGGAACTTCAGTCTTGGAAGACACACCGTCTCACCAAAAATCGGATCACCATCAGGCAGGAGCCGAGGGGCACAGGACAGTTCAGTCTTAGCCCTTTTTGCAGGCTGCTCACTCAGCAAATCCGACATGGACCTCTTGCGCTGCTCAGGACTACACTCATGGTCAGAATCCTCAACGACGAACGGGATGGTAGGGGAAATGGAATCACACACCACCTGCAACTTCCAGAACCCGCCATCAGCGATGATGCGACACTGGGACAGCGAAGGCCTGCACTTGGCAACGTAATCCAAAATGGACATGGGGTCAGCCGACAGTTTGGCACCAAAGACACACAAGATCACAAGGGTCACAAAGGCAGCATGCACAGGTGCAATGGAATTACCAATGTGCTTCCACCCCTCAGCAAGCGGCATCATGATCTTGGCATTGGGCGGGAAGCCCAACATCACAGCAACTTCCCATGGATGGAAGTACCTCGGATTGGTGCGGGGATCATCTCTAAGCAGGGTGGTGTATAGCCCTTTTGCAAGCAGGACCTTGCGTGGCAACTCATGCTGGTGGCCATATGAGGCCATGGGTGATCCCGGGGTCACAAATTTGGTCTTCACACGCCACGCAAGCACATCACATGGGTTCCGGAGTTCACCCCTCACAGTCGGGGGCAGCAACTCAGGATCGCTCAAGAGGGCAATGGCTTCTCGGGATGGTTCAAGCTCACTACGCTGCTCGGGCGACAAATGCATGGCAACTGCTTCACCCCGGAAGAGTGACAGACCTCCACTGCTTGCTGGCAACCTGATAACTACATTCTGCTCCTCAGTGAAGTGCGCCGCAGAGTTCTGATGGACAAACACTGCAAGCCACCTAGACCGATCAATTGGCAAGACATGTTTCAACGCTACCTTGGTTTCCTGCGCAATGAAATACCCCAGAATGGGCAGCATGGCACACACACACACTGCCAGTGAGGATGCTCTGTGATGGAGGGGACATTCTCCATCGTAATGTGCATGGCAATATGCCCCATGATGCGGAGGAAAAGCACAAGAATCCATCCCTCAGAACAGTTCAGACCTTTCGCGTTTGCAGCAGTGCTCCAAGGTGGACAAGGGGGGCTCGCAAACGCATGCTTGACTCCCATGATTGATGCTGCAAGATGAATCCTCAAATCCGTAACACACCCAAGCACAACAAAGCGCTTATGGCTACAGAAAGCTGGATCTGCAACAAGACCGGCAGTGAGGTCCTCAGGCGTAATCAGGGTGAAATCGTGGTTGGCTGCAAAGGCTTTGGCTGCATTCTCGTTGTGCTCAACTGCTAGCACCGTATGGCCTCTGATGCCCTGACGATTCAAGGCCTGCAGGCCGAATGACCAGCCGCCCATACCACCAGCAAAAAATTCGACAAAGGCAGGCTCTGAGTTCACAAAGGCATGCTGGTCAACCTGAGCAATCATCCCTTCAGATACTGTCAGCCTCGGGATCTGCAGGATGGGCAAGGATGTCCCTCCCGCTGCATCGTGGTCTCGGACTCGCATGGCACTGAACACCGCAAAAACACGACCTGTAATGTGACCATACAAGCGTGAGTACATCTCGGGAACCAAGATCCGGCATAATGTGGAGGTGAATCCAGCGTAGGCTTCCGCTGTGTATAATTCAAAACCAGCACGCAAGCACACGTGACGCTGCACAGGCTTGAATCTGATGTCAACGGTGCCCATGAACCGCGTTGCACGAAGGTCCAGATGGTCACCACGGATTCGCTGGGCCAGTGTGTTGACCAGCACCAGATTTTCATCCACAGATTGCTGATCGACTACCATGACTAAGACTGCTCAAGCATCAGCCGACACCGCTCGCTTCTGGTAAGCTCTTGAGCCAGAGCTATGAGCCAAAAACCCATTGAAATTATCTAAGACACCAACTGAAACCCCTGATTTTGGTGGGAATTTGGCTAGTTTCCTGTAAAATGTCCTGTAGCTGGTTTCTATGAAATTGGGTGCTTGCAAGAAGGTTATAAGGGTCTGCACCTTAGTATCCATCTTAAACTATGTAGAAGCCACCTTTCCGAACAGCTAGGTATGACCTCTGCCGAAAGTAGAAGCACCTCCCCAAAGCTTTGGGGGGGCAAACCTACCAAAACGGCCCTTCCGGCAAACCACCTCAAAGCCTTGGGGCCCCTCGGCCTCCGGCCCTCCTCCCCGGCAGAAACGAGCTGCTCCCCGGAGGGGTGGAAGTCGATGCAGGAGATGGCGCCTGGCTTTGCCCGGCCAAAAGGGGCGGGCACCGCCCCCCGCTGGTTGCATGGCTAAGGAAACCTATGGGATGACCATAGTTCACCCCATGATGGAAGTCAACCAGGAATAAAGTATGAAAAGTACTGTGGATGGTGAGAATCCCTGGTTTGTGATGATTCCCCTGTAAATGCCAACCAACAATGGTTTCAACCATGGTTTCTTAGGTGGTGCGAAATGGATTTCGTCCATCCACTGCAGGAATTCACCCCATAGCCAGATGACTTGCACTACTGCTTTCCGGGTCGGCTGGAAAGGGAAACCCCCTCCATGAAAAGGAAAAAGGATCACCACAAGCCTTGCAAAACACCATGAAGCCAGGAATGGAACCACCGACTGAAATAGCCCAATTGAATTTCTGAGGGAAATTAGTTTTGGATCTTAAGAAGTGGCACCTGTGATGGCTTTGCGTCTTGCAATCCAAGATACCACATCTACTGCTTTTGGCATGAGGCAAGTGCCTGTTGGAAGACTTGTGGCCAGATCCAAACGCGCAACAAGAGAAACCTCAATGGCCCGCAACATCTTTAATGTCTTCTGTTTTCCATTGGCCCCGGTGGCTTCCCACTAAACATTGTTTGCCAAAAGTGTCCTTTCCTTCCCCACGAAAAACCACAGGGCCCCCCCCCCAACCCAAAAAGAAGAAAGAAAGCAAGAAAGAAATAAAGTAATAAATAGGCAAGCGCCTGGATGGGCGTCGTAGTGCTGCAGCAGTTTGCGCCTCAAAGACAGCTCCACAGTGCCAAAAAGAAACGGGGTTGCTAGCGTCACTTCCGATCGATGGTCAGAGAGAGTAAGCAGAGGGTTTACCCGTAAAATGATCGATCCAAAAGATAAAGGGAAGCAAGCAACATCACGGCCAAAAGGGGGGACTCACTTTTGAGTTCCAATCATGCTTACCAATCTGCATGGGAGCAAGCTAATCAAGCATAGACAAGGAAAGCAAATGTCAGATTCGGCCAGTGCGTGTGTGTGCTTTGTGTGCAAGTCCGCGACGAATTGTGTCTGTGGTCAAAACTGATCCTGCTCGAAACACTGTTTTTTCCAACCAAAAGGCAAAAGCAAACTGCCACCACGCGAAAGATGAACAACGTGTTTGCTGTGTGGCTGTCGAAAACAGCCATGTTCAACCCAACAAGAAAATGCCCTCTGTCCAACAATCATGGAGGTCCATGTCAGGTTTTGCAAGACAAAGCCTCCTGAAAAGGCCATGCTTCACTCCCCGCCACGGAAAACCGACGAGTTATTGGCAGGACACCCCTTCCTTGTGGTGTCCCTTTTGACACCACCCCCAAAAGGGTGCCAACTCCCAACATAAAAATGTCCTCAGACACATTGCCCCCACCCAATTGTTGGCCCTGTAAAAATGGCTCCCATTCCCGTCTTTGTGGAAAACCCTACAAAGTGGGCTTGCCGGAAACCGAGGCCCTGGGGCCCTGGAGCCCGGGGCGAGCGGAGGTCCCAGAGCTTGATGCAGCCATCGAAGCCGCAGGCAGCCACACAGGACCTGACAGGGGGAAGGGGTTGGGGCCTAAATGATTAGGTTATTTATTGTGCTTCTTTTTTTTTTCTGGGGGGGGGAGGGGAAGGGAAGGAGTTGTTTTTTGGTTAATGCTTTTATGTTTGTTTTCTTCCTTTTTTCCGGGGGGGAGGGGAAGGAGTTGGGGGTTTAGTTTTTGTTTTTGTTTTTTTGTGGGGGGGGGGGGGTTAGGTATGTTTCTCTGTCAGGTTGCTTTGTTTCTTGGGGTAGGGTATGGTGCTGGGGTGGGGTAGGGTGTGGACGGTACGGAACGGCGGGGATGAATTTTAAGTAGGGATCCTTTGGTGGACATCAGAAAAATGCGGGGGATTGAACCACTAACCACTTTGGAGGTGGTTCCAACTCTTAAAACTCATAGCCAAAATGGGTTCGTCTCAAAACAGACATCGGTCCAACCCCCAAAATGGCGGGGTTCCTTTTGGTTGGCACGTCACTGGAGTGGGTGCGGGTCTCAAGGGACAAAAAACGAAAGGTGGGTTCCTGTTGGTTTCCCTTTCACACGCAAAGGGGCCCCCGCAATCCCATGAGGATGGACAGAATCCACTTCGCACCAGTTTGGAGACCCTATGGCTCCGGCAAGCCTACCAACTGGAGGATTCTCCGCATCCACAAAACGAATACGGGTGTGTGTGTGTGTGACAATCTTTTTGGAGGCTGCCCTTTCAGCTCCAAAGGGAAGGGAAAAGGAGAACGGCCAGCTGCCGGTCCCGCCTATGTTGCCACAGAGCCAACGTCACTTGGACTTGTTGACCACCTTCTGAAAAGCAGCTCCAGTAAGTGGTTCTCACACACACACACACACACACGCACGCACGCACGCACGCACGCACGCCCGCACGCCCGCACGCCCGCACGCCCGCACGCCCGCACGCCCGCACGCCCGCCCGCACGCACGCCCGCACGCACGCGCACGCACGCCTCGCGCACGCCCGCCCGCCCGCCCGCGCACGCACGCACGCAGGCACGCACGCACACCACACACACACACACACACCCACACCCACACCCACACCCACACCCACACCCACACTCAGAGGCCCACACCCACACCAACACCCACACCCACACCCACACGCCCGCACGCCCGCACGCCCGCACGCACGCGCGCACGCGCGCACGCGCACACGCGCACACGCGCACACGCGCACACGCGCACACGCACACACGCACACACGCACACACGCACACGCACACGCACACGCACACGCACACGCACACGCACACGCACACCCACACCCAAACACAGACACAGACACAGACACAGACACAGACACAGACACAGACACAGACACAGACACAGACACAGACACAGACACAGACACAGACACAGACACAGACACAGACACAGACACAGACACAGACACAGACACAGACACAGACACAGACACAGACACAGACACAGACACAGACACAGACACAGACACAGACACAGACACAGACACAGACACAGACACAGACACAGACACAGACACAGACACAGACACAGACACAGACACAGACACAGACACAGACACAGACACAGACACAGACACAGACACAGACACAGACACAGACACAGACACAGACACAGACACAGACACAGACACAGACACAGACACAGACACAGACACAGACACAGACACAGACACAGACACAGACACAGACACAGACACAGACACAGACACAGACACAGACACAGACACAGACACAGACACAGACACAGACACAGACAGACACAGACACAGACACAGACACAGACACAGACACAGACACAGACACAGACACAGACACAGACACAGACACAGACACAGACACAGACACAGACACAGACACAGACACAGACACAGACACAGACACAGACACAGACACAGACACAGACACAGACACAGACACAGACACAGACACAGACACAGACACACACACACACACACACACACACACACACACACACACACACACACACACACACACACACACACACACACACACACACACACACACACACACACACACACACACACACACACACACACACACACACACACACACACACACACACACACACACACACACACACACACACACACACACACACACACACACACACACACACACACACACACACACACACACACACACACACACACACACACACACGCATCAGACCTGAAGTGGCTCAGGTTGTGCCCTGAAACAACCCCAGGATATCAAATCAAATGGCTCTAAGCGCCTTCTCCCTGAAAATAGACATGTTCCAAACTCCTTCCGTCAAGCTCTGCCAAGTTTCAGCAAAACCAAACTCAAGCATCAATGATTGCCTCAGAAAGTAAGCGGAGATGTGTCTCGTCACTTTCACTCAGCCCGCTGAATTTATCTTTCTCTCATCCTTGCAACTACCTGTATCTAGCCAGCACAAATATGCTTCCTCAGGCTCGCTCCACCTCCATCAACCTCTGCCAAGCTTTCAACAAAACCAAACTCAACCATCAAAGATTGCCTCAGAAAGTAAGCGGAGATGTGTCTCGTCACTTTCACTCAGCCCGCTGAATTTATCTTTCTCTCATCCTTGCAACTACCCGCATATCTAGCCAGCACAGATGCTTCCTCATGCTCGCTTCACCTCCATCAACCTCTGCCAAGCTTTCAACAAAACCAAACTCAACCATCAAAGATTGCCTCAGAAAGTAAGCGGAGATGTGTCTCGTCACTTTCACTCAGCCCGCTGAATTTATCTTTCTCTCATCCTTGCAACTACCCGCACAGATGCTTCCTCAGGCTCTCTATCTCCATCAACCTCTGCCAAGCTTTCAACAAATCCAAACTCAACCATCAAAGATTGCCTCAGAAAGTAAGCGGAGATGTGTCTCGTCACTTTCACTCAGCCCGCTGAATTTATCTTTCTCTCATCCTTGCAACTACCTGCATATCTAGCCAGCACAGATCCTTCCTCAGGCTCGCTCCACCTCCGTCAACCTCTGCCAAGCTTTCAGCAAAACCAAACTCAAGCATCAATGATTGCCTCAGAAAGTAAGCGGAGATGTGTCTCGTCACTTTCACTCAGCCCGCTGAATTTATCTTTCTCTCATCCTTGCAACTACCTGCATATCTAGCCAGCACAGATGCTTCCTCATGCTCGCTTCACCTCCATCAACCTCTGCCAAGCTTTCAACAAAACCAAACTCAACCATCAAAGATTGCCTCAGAAAGTAAGCGGAGATGTGTCTCGTCACTTTCACTCAGCCCGCTGAATTTATCTTTCTCTCATCCTTGCAACTACCCGCACAGATGCTTCCTCAGGCTCTCTATCTCCATCAACCTCTGCCAAGCTTTTAACAAACCAAATTCAACCATCAAAGATTGCCTCAGAAAGTAAGCGGAGATGTGTCTCGTCACGTTTACTCAGATCTTGCGGATTGCCCTATTCCTGAAAATGGACATGTTCCAAACTCCCTCCTCCTGGAGCTATGGTACTTTACAAGTTGGGGGTTAATAATCCTGCACTCGTCTGCTGCGTCTAGCCCACCCAACACCCAGCAAGGGCATGTTTGAACCCCTTGTGTGAACCCCTGTTTACTGGGTTTCTTAGACAGGGGACTCCTTAGTAAGTGGTTACTGCCCTGACCCGCGGAAAGGAGACGGAATCGCAAACATGGGTCATGGTACCCGCTTGCTAAGTAGCCTGCCTCTCTGAGTCCCGTACAAATATACATGGAAGCTAAAACCCTCCAAGAACAAGAGACGACAAAATCCTTGCAAACCCACCGTTAATCTCCGGATTCCCATACCAAGACCATCATAGTCGGACCCGATGTGTGGGTTCCCTTCAACAAAAAAACGCGGGCTCGGTAGCGCCCCTCCTTGGGAGAGATCTGTTGATTGGCTATGCGTTTCAAGAGTTACAACATCCTATGGTTGGCGGACATAAATCCCACCTAAATCATGTCAACCAGTCCCTGATTGAAACTATCACCCAATTATCATGGTTTACTACTCTGAACAAGACCAAATCGGTGGATGTTCGTTGGACCTTGTGGTTCTGGAGAATTCTATCCGGTTGGACAGCAAAGGGCCAACTCCCTACGTGGCTTTTTCAGGAGGTGACCCTTAACAGGGCCAGTGTCCCTTCGCTTCCCCTTTGAAACCGTCCGAAAGGGGGTCGGCCTTTTTGAGAACCCCCCCTTGAATCCGGCTTGTTCTCCTTGCCAAAAGGAGCTGAGGAGGAGGGGAAGGGCAGTCACTCAGTCACTTTGCGGTGATCCCTGATCATCAAAAACGAAGAATATTTTGCTCATCGCTTTTAAATATTGGGGGTCCCCCGGAATTGAGATGAACCATTTTTGCGGTTCTAAATGTCCAAGAAGAAAAGGCCAGAACCACCAACCTGAAAAAGGTACGCGTATTTACACACATCCAAGGGCCATAGGATTCCGTTTGTTCCTCAAGAAGGACCAAACCACGAGAGAATCGTGGTTTGGCCAACTTTCATCCAACATGACTTGACCATCTATTCCAGTATTGATCATCACGCCATCTGCGCTCACCCATTACTGGGCGCGTGCCTGGCTCTGTAGGGGCCACTGGCCCCGTTCTCGGGGCCCCGGCCCGTCGGGGTGGAACTTCACCTGGGACACTGCGGACTCGAAGTCCGGGAAGCTCATGATGGAGGCCTCCGTGCGAGAGAGAGAAAAACAGACTGGACTCGATACCCAAACGGAACCAACAACCAGAGGGGGTCCCAAGCACGTTGTCAACCTGCGTGGTCGCAAAGGGTCAGAATGGCAAGGTCAAGCCATGGCAGATTTCTGGGTGGATTGTCCACGCCTAGTCCCGGACTGAGAACACATTTTGCGCCGTGCTCAACGTGCCGCAAGCGTCCCGACCGAAACTGCTGCCCCTTCAGCGGTCCCTTCAGAGGGGATTTCTTTAAAATATTTTGGTCCCTTATTTTCTCAGGAGCCTCCCACGAAAGAATCAGCTCCAACGACCTGCGAACTGTCGGCTCACTCTTTGGACACGACAAATGGGGGGTTTAAGAAGCCGCAAGAAAGCACCAAGGCGGTTCTGGCCCAATGCTCAGTTGCGAACGAAACTACACATGCCAAAACCATCGTTGGTTTAAACAAGATCCGGTTCCTTTTCCAAGGGGGCCAGGGTCTGGCTAAACCTGGCCCAACCTGCAACGTACCTCCACGGAACGTGAGGCCAAGAAACACCTCCCGAAGGGCATGGGACGGCCCGGATTCGTCACCAACAGGAGGCTGCCAACATATTATTGGGGGGGGCTGAAAGGAAAACCCATTTTGGGAGCCCCCTAAAAAAGACACGCCCACATTGTCATCATTGTCAGAGAATCGTCTGACTCCCCTTGTATCCAAACGCAATCGAAAAAAATGTGGGGAGTTTACCCCCCCCCCCGGCTCTTGGAAAATTGGTGGTACTCCGCGACGTTCACGATTCTCTCAAAACTTCCATAGACGGCTAGGTCACCAGAGCGAGCCTTCCTCTCCACGTCCCAGACTATGACGTTCTTATCCTGCAGCCGGAGCGCACCAACAATCCTTTCTCCATTGAAGATTATTCCGGAGAAAATGGCAAGTAAAGAACAACATGAACATGTGCTACATCATAATATGTGTCATGCCTTCCTGGATCCACTGCAGCATGTCCTACAAGTATTCCTTTTGACCCACGAATAGTAAACATTGAATTCCAAGGTGTAATACGGATGGAGAGATATGTATAAAGCAAACTGACGTTAATTGTACCAGTTGGTAAAGATATTGGCAGATATTGATGACTAAGATGGCAAGTCTGCGAAACAAGCTCTTGTACCACGATGTCTCCAAAAGAAGAGACATAGATGACATGGAAACATGATTGATTGCTTCGCAAAGACTATTAAATATCAGAACCTATCATGGAAACGATGCCAAATGCAGGAAGTATTAAGCTGCAAACTTATGGATGTCCAACACACCAAATAATTGTCGATATAATATAGGATCCCCTCAAAATATTGGATCAAAGAAGAAAAGTGTATTAGAATGAAGATCACCCAACATCAATGGAAGTGTACCAAATAAGATAGGCAACTAATATTAAAAAACACACAAAACAAAAAAGTGAAAGCTGCAATCAAGAAAGAGAAAGGAAATAACGGGCATGGGCCCTGTGTGTGCTTATTTATGTGTTGGGGTTGGTCTCTTTAAGACAGGAAAACAAGGGGATTATTTTTTAGAACCTTGACCAAAAATGTCCGACATTCGAAAACCAACGGGCGTTGACCTGGAAAAATGAGAATCATGAAATGGTTGGTGGGTGGAACATTCAATGTTCAACAAACAAGCAAGCAAACAATCAAGCAAGAAAACAAACAAAGAAAAAAACACACACAAACAAAAAACACACAAACAAACAAACAAACAAACAAACAAACAAACAAACAAACAAGCAAGCAAGCAAGCAAGCAAGCAAGCAAGCAAGCAAACAAACAAACAAACAAACAAACAAACAAACCAACAAACATGCGAACGAACGAACATGCGAAGCTTAGAGATCAAACCAAAGAGCACCCCCCCATTGCGTCCGCAGAGCAAATCAACCTGCAACCCCCCAATCCATGCCACTCAAAATGTACATCTCAGGGTCACCGGTTGCAAAGGTTCGTCAGGGCACGCGTCCAAAAACAAAAACGTGTGGACATGATTTATCTTCAAAGCCTTGATTGAGTAGGGGGGGGTTGGTTGAAGGTAGACGAGTCCCTCCAGTTCCGCCGAAATGAATTCGATGCAGCTTATCCCAACCTCCAAGACCGTGGCCAAATAGCCTCCGCCATTCGACCCCAAAGTCGGCTGAATGTCAAGGGCTCTAGCCGAGGGAACGGAGACCACCGCGGGGTCGGATATGAGGCCGGCAAAGCCAAGTTGGCGTGCAGAGTGGTCGTGGAGTAATCCATGAGCTTCAGGAATATGTTGACTGTGCGGGGTGTCCCTTGACTGGGAAATCAAACTTTTGGAGGGCCCCCGCCCTATGAATAGGACAGGTCTATTCCTCTGGGGTCAACCTTACGACCCGCAACGCACCTCCCCCGCCGACGCCACCAGCTCGGAGTTCTTGGAGAAATCTGCGGAGTAGACCTCACTTCGCGCCGTGGCCGCGGTTTCTGAAAAAAATCCCAATGGTAGCTGACTCGAAGTGTCTGACTCTCTATCCAAGTACAGCAAACCAAACAAATGAAGCAGGTTCATTCCTTAGGATACAGCAAACCAGACAAACAAATGAAGCAGGTTCATTCCTTAATTTTTTTGTCCAGCAAACCAAGCGGCTCGGTGGTTTTTGCTTTTGCTTTCCGGGCGACCCGGCCCAGTTCTTATGGCCCAGCAGCGACGCATGGAAGCGGTAGGTGGCTAGGGACCACCTCAGACCGCGGATGGGTGTTTACTCAACGGGGCAAGCCGCCCCGAAATAACATGGGATCCTGGACTCATCAACTGGTTGACTTTGATTGGGGAATGTCCCGAAGAAAAAAAAAAGAAAAAAAGAAACCACTACTTGAGTTTGGGAATCAAACCACTCTTGGAGGCCCGCCCCCCTAACAGGACAGCATTCATCCGGGATCAACATCACTGGACATTTCGACCAAACCTCAAATGGGTGTGACAAAATAGAGGGGCCCAAAAATGCAGGTCGTTCTTTTGATTTCCCTTGCAACAAACTTGAAAAGGCCGCCGAGCCTCAACAAAAACGTGACCCCAATGGTCGTCCTCAAAAGCGTAAAGTCAGGAAGCTGCACAGACTGAGTTGGCTGTGGGTCAAAACCAATGGTACCATTTTGGGGCAGGTGAATTCACCACCCATTTTGGATCCTATTTTAGTGGTTGGATTGAATCGGATGTTCACTGGGGGCTAACCGATTTGGCTTTTGACAAGCCCATGGCCAGTTGCCGGGAAGGCTGGGGCTGCAGGCAGCTTCACCGTCTTGTCGTCCGAGGCGGTCAGCAGCAGCGACTCGTCCCGGGAGAAGCACACGCTGCGTACGGCGCCGCAGTGGCCCTGCGGCAGACTTCTGCCATTGAAGCGGTGCCGGGCAGAAGTCAAACGGGCGCAACGGTGGAGAGCAAGAAAGCCAAATGAAAGGGAAACCCACCAAAACAACAGGATGAAGAACTGCAAACCTTAACCCGACATGATCCACTTCTATGACCGTTGGAAAGAGGGTCGTGCCAGTCTTCTAGTGTTGGAAGACTCGCATCCTCTTAAAAAGGCCTCTTGTCCATTTCCATGATTCGTTGGAAAAGGGACCCTCGCATCAATGAACATGTAAGTGCGCAGAACCCCAGACCAAACGGAATGTAGTCTTGCAACAGGAAAGGGGTCTGCTGAGTTGACGATCCAGGAAACGTCTAACGACGGACAGCTGCTTTGCAAGGCGCACCCTCGCGTGCCGCTCTTGAGGGGCAGAGCGGCAGACCTGGCCTTGATCACGCGGCTGTCCCCGTGCGCTGAGTTGCTCCAAAGGCGCACCTCGAGGCGAGTGGCCACCTTTTCCGAACAGAAGGACCCCGAGCCAAGGAAAAGGGGTGTGCCACACCTCAAGGCTTTGCTTCGGTGTGCAAAGCCAAACTTTGACAACGGTGCTGTGGCTTTTCAGACCCGGGAGAAGTACCGAGGTGCTGGTGCTCGGTCGGAGCTGTGGCTCAATGCCGACGCTTGCTGTCTTGGCAATGACCCCGTGACCCTGGCTGCCCCAACAGGTTGCTGTTTTTTTTTGAGCTTCCTTCAAATTCTGTTCAGCGGCTATTCTGGCTCTGAGGGATCCCCAAAAATCCTTCATGGTGAGCTCGTTATGGTTCGTCCAGAACCATATGATACGGATGGATGAAACAGTTGGAGCCAGGAGGTGGGGCAACTCAAATCAAAAAGTTCAGGTCAAACCACCCTAAACCCACTCTAATCCCACCCTAAACCCACTGTTGGTTTCCCCTTACAATCAACCAACCGAAACGGCCTTGAATCGACGCGATCTTCGGCCCCCAGGCGGTTTTATCCGCAGACGCGGAGGCGATGGTCTGGCCCTCAGCTTTGGCTCCCATGAGGGGGGTCGCCATTAAAACTCGTAGCCACGTGTTGCTGTTGTTGCTGGTGTTAACCAGGCATGGGCGGAAAAAGCATGTCTTTTAGCTTTTTCTACCCCCCCCCCCTTTCCACAAAGTGGACAAAAGAGCTGTATAAAGGGCAAACAACCCCCTTAAACAGTGGTCGCTACCCTCTTCTGAGCAAACATGAAAGTGGACACTCCGTTTTGCGAGAGACTTCTAAAACCCTCCTGCCTACTTTGATTGGAAAAACGATGACCTCCCCTTACCAAAGCGAAAAAGAAGGGACCCCAAACACCCTCGCTTGGCCTTCAAAGGGCTGCTCAACAAAATTGACACTCAAGATATGTCACCTTACATGGGAACTAAGACTAAAACCTATGAGAACTATATAAGACTATCACAACCTGCGTCACCCCAGCCTTTTTAAGCCACAACACTTACAGCCAGCCGAGCCCCGCGCCGTGCGGCTCAGCGCTACGTGGTGCACCTCGCCCTTGTGGCCTGCCGCGGATGCGTCGCAGGCACTGTTGGACGGAGTCATGGGCCGCTGCTGTAAAGGGGCGATCGATTCGGTGCGTCGAGTAAGTGGGGCAACAACCATGCTTATAACTCACTCGGAGACTGACAACCATGGTAAGTGGGTGCTAACCATTGTTGTTGCCCACTTTCTAAGCACTCTGCCCCTTTAGGTGGGTTTCTTCAAAAGGGACTCCTTTTGAAGCAATCCAGCCACTTTCGAGGCGGTTCCGACGCATTAAAAACAAAATGATTCCGTTTCCATGTAGGTAACCAAAGGAGCCAGCGATTCAAGACGAAAGAAAATAGCTGGATACCTTTACTGGTATCTGGTAGCTTCCTTTCAGGGAATGATAATCATTCATGGCCCACAAAATAGGGGCGCGACTCCAAAAATCAGAGATGTTCTGATCATGCATCATATTTAGCCTGCCCGAAACATAAAAAAAGGTTTGCCGGCGACCCCTCAAGTAGGGAACAAGGAAACCAATGCTCTAATTTACCATAAGTTCTCATGGTTTTGAAGTTTTTGGTATGGCTGGTTTCGCTGCAATATCGAGTTGGCGCCCACCGTAGTGTCCTTCAAGGGAGTCAATTCGGGCAGCAGCCAATTCTACTTCCCGCAACATGAAGCAGGCACCCATTAGGAGCGCATCTGCAGCTGCCGCAGGCCTGTCAAAGTCGAAGGCTTCACAATCAGTCTACCAAAACATCGAAGGAATCTTTCAGCGCAGGAGGGCCCAGCCCACGCTTGAAGGATTGGACGCAGTCCCGCATGACAAACCTGATGTAAGGCTGCACTGGAACGTGTAGGCGACGCAGCTGGAAGGAAGTAGCCGCAAAGTAGTACTGTGCGGCGCTCTTGTAGTGTCCTCTTTTCAAACAAGCACCCACGGTTCTCACATTGTCTACATTCACAGTGGAATGGGGGAAGCCCCCACGCGTCACATAGCTGTCCACACTGCCAACCTGGAAGCCTGCTGTTGTTCGGGCCAAGATGTCCTGATCCAATTCTGCAAGGGACAAGCCCTTGAAAACTTCTGGAAACCAGCAAGCTACCTATGGTTTTCGAGTGGTCTTTTAGTGGCCGACCCAAAACAACAAGAGGAACATGTCAAAGCAGGGGCTACCATCCAAGCAATTTCGGTGGCAGGTTTTCTCCAATTGTTTCAAGCCAGGGTTTGAACCATTGCCCAAACTCCCTTCGCCCCTTTCGACCGCTTTCTTTAGGACGGCGCCCTCTGGTTGGGTGTGTCCTAAAATCCGCACATCTCTGTGGGTTTGTTTCAAAAGGAATCCCACCAGTATCATTCTGGGTGCTCCACGCTAAAGCGCGAAAAAAGCACCAGAACGACCTGGGACACTTCTGGGTTGATCCCATGGGTGTGGCTCAACATAGACCCCTAACTGATGGTGTCTCCCACTGAGTTGTCCTTTCAATCAGACCATTTCATGGGCGTCCTCAAGAAAAGACACTCCCATACTGTGGATGGACGAAATCCTGCACCAACTCCAGAAACCCTGGAATGTTTCGATTCCCCTGTAAGTACCAACAAACAATGGTTTCAACCATGGTTTCATTTCGTGGTGCGAAGTGTCCTTTTGGATTCTCTAGACACCCCAACCAAAACAACAAGGTTCACCGTTTGGAAAACCCCCCCTATGTTCAACTCTGGTCCGTCCACACATGTTCGAGGCGGTAGCCCGGCCTACCGAACCTCGAGCCAAAAACCGAGCCCTCCCGCCCACCTAAAAAGCGGAAGGGCCGAAGCTGTGGCTTGAAGTGCCATACCTCGGTGCTTCGCATCGAATCCGAGAGCCGAAGGTTCCCTATGGGGTGGGCAAGAACAAACATATTGATGCTTTCCCTGTGTCTGGTTCATTTTTGGTCAGTCAACCTTCAAATCTAAGATATCTCCTGAGACAGACGAAAGCACATTGATGACTTTAAGGGGCTCGCATCCCCGCCCAGGATAGTTCTCTCGCCCAAGCCCCGGAGTCACTGTCACTCGGTCACTCGCGGATGGCATCTGCCAGGGCCCCCCGGCGAAAAGGCAACCATCCTGGGACCCGGAAATCACCTGCACGAGATGCGGGGGAAACAGTTGGCTGCTCTCATTCGACCGAATCGATCGCAAGTAGAACATTCGGCCCCCAAAATGCAAAAGGACCCCGATCAAATTCAGGGAACCCCAAAAAATGGTGGTCTTCCTTCTGGGTCCCATTAAAACCACAAGAAAAGGGTATAAAGAGACGCGGCACCCATTTGCGGTTCGGGGCTGGAAATCGATGACCTAAGAGCTCTGTGTTCGAATGTTTTGGGCAAGTCATTACAGTACCTGGACGTCAGAGATGAAAAAACTGCTGGGAAGACCTGGGAAAATGTTGAAGGGCTGGAATCGTCATACCCTCCTTAAATGAAAACGATAAAGCCGGAGGCATGACTTCCAACAATATATATATATATATATATATTATGTGTATACCCATCCTAGTTTGATTGCTTCACTTTTTGTCACCACTAAGATTGCAAATTGTATCCTAACTCTACCCCAAAGGAGAAATAAACGCCTCTTCAGCAATTGAAGTAAAATCCCTCGAAAGCCGGGGATGAAAAAACATGGTTGAGGCGGCCGAACATCTGCTTGCTTGGGACCATTCCAGCTCCACCCGCGGCGTTGTTTGCATGGTCCGAAAGAAAAATGCAGGGTTCAAAACCCATACGTCCAAAATGAGGGGGGGGAGTTGAAGGACCTCATGTGGCTAGCTCTGAAAAGGCAAAAACACCTCTTTTGTTTTCATATACATATATATATATATATATATATATATATTTGGATATTGTATATATGTACATCATGACGAACTATGATAACAAGGCAATACCCCTACGAACGGCGTACATCGGACCGACGCATTCGGTCCGAAACGAAATTTACCCTTCAGGATTGTCAATAAATGGTTGGCCTTTTTTGGCCGTTTGAACTACCCAGTTGAAACACGCTAGTTTGGACAACCCACCCAACCCACCCAATCCACCCACCCAACCCACCCAACCCACCCACCCAACCCACCCATTCCGATACCCCGATAACCCCACGATCCACGCCTGCGTGCCCTCCGGATGGAAGGCGAGGCAGCTCACGGGAGCCCGGTGGCCCTGGAAGGCACGGTCCAACCTGCCAGCTCGTCCCTCGGCTTCGAGCCCGGTGTGGGCTTTCCCGGTTTCCCCCTCCCTCCCAGAGGGCTCCAAATCCCCCCCAATTCATGGTCATGTTGCCTCACAACAAGGTCCAAAGCCCCAAACTGAGGGTTTGTTGTTGAGTCCGGATTTTTTTAATGGTTCTATCAAGGGGTGAAAGCCCCTCCAAAGTGAATCCGCAGAAGACACCCCCTAGTCAAAACAACCAGGTTTCCCGATTCCTGTGTAGAAGCCCTCGACCCCTACCTTCCCAAGCCCTGCCATATTTTTCGCTCACGAAGCCGCACCTCGGCGGCTCCAAGCCACTCAGGCTCATGATGCGTGGTCTCAAGTCGTCTCTCTTGATTCCTTTTTTTTGGCCAGTGTGGCTATGTGTATGCTTGTTCCTTCTTTGGTCGTTTCTGTTTGGTGTGGTTGTATGCATCTTTGCTGTTCATGTCGTTGTGGCTATGCTTTCGTTTGACTTTCTGTCCCTTCTTGTTGCTTTCGTTTTGTCGATTTTGGCTTGGTCGATTTGGACCGAGATTTGAACAGGGTGAAGTGATGGAAGGCTGTCGCCAGTCGCACCATGCTATGCGGGGTGGATCCAGCAGATCTCGCCTAAGGTTGAGCTGTCAGATCGAGCTCACCCATTCCCCACTTTTGAGCCAAAGCTGACGGCTCACATCCCAAAAGCCACAGAATGCGAAAATGTCCGCGACCCCAACTAAGCCGGAAACCCATTGACTCTTTGTGCTAACATGGTGCGGATTTATCCAGGCCGTTTTACCAGGAGACCGCTCAAAACGGCCAACTGGACGTTCGGTGCTGAAGGGCTTCTCCAAATCTCACTTCCTGAGTAGATGGGCCGAAAAAGGCCAAACTGTTTGTTCACCACTACAATGGTCTTCCCAAAAAGAAACAATGTCCAAGAACTCAGGAAGTGAGAAACTCATCCTTCAAACTCACACAGGTTACCGAAGGGTCCTTGTGGGAATCTCCTTCAAACATGCTTTGTTTTGGGGCCCACTTTGCTGTCAACACCAATTGCAAGTCTGGTGTTTGCAGGTGAGGCATGTCAGGCGGTGTCCCTTTAAATCAAGGTGAATTTCCTACTAACCCCAAGATATCCCCAAGTAAAGAGGAAGTAAAAAGGGTGTGTTGACTGCACATAGCCCCTTGACGCTTTTTGGGTGGTCTCCGGGGAGAGTGGCTCTTGGTGTCTGGTCCTTGCATGCTATGGGATAAAATTCATGGAGGTGTGCTTTTCACAGGAAAACAACCACTTGTGGGCCCTGTGTGTCGACTAGTGACCAAGCAACTTCCGGCAGCCAAACATGAAGCCTACGCCCAAGCGTGTGGAACCATTCAGCCCTTTCTGTTCAAAAACCAATCACCTTTTGGTTTACCCTCATCACAATCATGGAAGTGGACCATCGCTTGCCCAAACCAGTCTTCCCACACCTTACCACAGTCCGCTTCCGTTGGATTTACATTCAGTGAGCTTGCAACATGTCTCCCTCCCAAATGGGTCTGTCTTTTTGCATTTGGTACTCTCTTACTTTTGTGGTATTTGGAAATCAAAGGAAAGCCACCATTATTTTTCTTTGGGGGTGCAAAAAGGACACATCCAAATAAACCATGGCAAGTTTGACCTGACCTGCACAAACCCAATCAACGTCTAAACAAGTCCCCGAGCCCCCTTTCTGCCGAAGCGTTCTGCCGAAGCGTTCTGCCGAAGCGTTCTGCCGAAGCGTTCTGCCGAAGCGATTTTCAGTACACGCCGCATGCCGCGCAGCGAAGCGTTCGATCAGAAGTGGTCAGTACCAAGCAAGCATACGCTAGGTGCAGAAACGAAAACTGAGGGACTCTTGGCAATGATGGGTGGGCGCACCTGATTCACTGCCCTACCGTCGGTAAGTCGCTGTCGCTGAAAAGAAAACGGCGCGGCATGGCGGCGACATTCGACATTCGGCACGGACATTGGGCTGATGAATCCTGTGCTTCACCGAAATTGAATTGGCCATGTTTCCCTCAAATCACGAAAAGGAAAGCAAAGAAAAACGGCTTAAGGAAGGCTCTGTCCAGGTTGGCTGACTCGTGGGGGCTCTTAAACACGAATTGTCCTTCCTAAGGCTTCCTCGTTATTTAGCTTGACAGTAGGCGTGCCAAAACAGTACCATAAACCCATCCTGTGAATCGGATCCCCTGTTTGGGTGTCATGGTGATTTGAGAATGCAAACTTCAAGAAGCCAAGAAGTTGCCGCAGCCGCTCGTATACATGTATGGTTGGAACTGTCCCCTAACCTTCATCGGTTTTGATTTTGGCTCAAGCTAGACAAAGATAAAATCCAGCTCAAATGCCCTTACTAGCGCATTCTTCCCCCAAATGCATGTGGGTGGCCTTGTTCAAAGCTTGCACCCGTTTTGGGGGTGGCTGAAACAGAAGCCAACATTAAGCCTCCAATTCTCTGCGTATGTATGTGTGTACGTACTTACGTATGTTAGTGTTTGGATATATATATATATATACATATTATGCATGGATATCATAGTCTGTACACATCAACAACAAGAAGCGGCTTACTTGTCAAAGGATCCATCAAGCCCTGAGGAGCTTTGCATTTACAGACTGGGCTGTTCAAAGTGGCATCTTTTCCAATCCGAGTTCCACTACGGGGAAATACTAGAACTTCCTGGTGTCTGTGAATCAAGCCGAATGCTTTCGGAACTAAAGGAAGACGAAGCCGCTCGCAAGGACCTTGACTAAACATAGACCGAACAGCCCTCGGTTCGCTGTCGAGATCTTGCAGCTTGAAATAGAAATTCTCAGGGACCGAACCGGGCTGAACATGACCCAAACCAGCGAGTTTGGCAACCATTTTCCCTCGAGTCCAAGTACGTCCCCAGTGTTGCTGTTTGACCTTGTCGGAAATCACACCAGTTGCTCGATTGCTTGGTGAAAGGGGAAATGGCCATCAGCTGCTCATTAGCTCACCCCCAAAACCCAGCAAACCTATGTGATCCCCTGAAACCCAACACAAACGCGACTTTTGCAGGAGTCTCCTTTCTGATGCACCCCCTCGGGTCCCTTCCATCAAATTGCAAGTCGGGCAAAGCCAATTGAACGGCCCAGCCAGGAATTTGAGGCACTGCCGGCCCTTCGATCGAAGGGCCGGGAAAAAAGGATTTCGGGCCGCCTGGGAAACGACGGGTCCACGGATTCCTGGTGCTCTCTTCGAAAGGTCCGTTGTGAACGAAACCCCTTTTCGCATCGGCCCCATGGCTAGTGGAAATGCTCCCTCTGCTTCCCCACAAGAAGAACATCGACCCAAGAGGAAACTCCGTGTAGTGGCAACTAAAAGGTTCTGTCACGGGCAGAAGAAGGGACCTCTTACGACTTTTAGTCAAGGTAGGTGCTCTTTTGGCTGAAAAATGGATGGATTTCACAAGCGGAAAGCGCAACGAGTTTGGTTCCAACCAACCTGATAACTCGAAGGACACCAAAGGTTCAGGGGACTAAAGTGACATGGTCAATTCCTTGTATGGCCTATGGTCACAGTTCCCGTTATCAATAGGAATCACTATAGTGGCTATTAAGGACCCTTACTACCATGTGAATGACCAATTCTGATGGGTCCTTTGCTCGAGTCATCCCAAACCCGACAGGGGCCGATCCGTCACTTCAGAAAGCCGTTCCCGTTGTAGTAGCTGGAGGTGAGCTTGGCGTACCAGTCTTGGTACCTGCAGGGATACAGTTGCAGCCTAGGACAGTTGGGTGCAAGTAGATGGCGCAACCTCCCCGAATAAGTTTGATCCTCTTTTAAGCCTTAGTTGGCCCCCCTCAGTAAGGCTTACTAACCCCCGACTTTGGGGGTCCACAAGAATGGGCCCCCCAGATCTTCGGTCCTGGTTGGAAGGGGGAAAACAGGATCAAATCTATTCGATCGGAGCAGGCACAAGCAACACCACCTGTGCATCTGCGTTACTTCAATACTTCCAAAACCGAAAAGTTGGAGATCTCCAAGATTCCAAGTAGTACAAAGGACTGGCAACACGGCCAATCCGAATCCCGACTAAAAGCCCCTCGTAGGCAGTGTCCTCCCATTCGACCGAATCAATCGCCACAATCGGAAAAGGTCCTTTCTCGGCACCAAACGAAGCCCTCCTTGCTTGCAAGGTTTTGAGCCATTCCTTTGGCTGAAATGATGTCACCCCCAATGTAAGGCTGGTTCACTAAGAGGGGTGCAGGGGTCGGAAGCACCGTCAACCGTGTGTCAATACAATCAGAAAAAACCATGGCTACAAAAGAAGCCAGCATGACGTGGGCTCTCCGGTGGGTTCATGGGGAGGGCAAAACCAGCGCGTCCCATGACTTGTCAGGTCCCTTTGGCAGGTCTCCCACTATGACTCGGTGACCTCCGCGCGCACCTCTCCTTTTGCGCGAGCGCGGGAAAACGAGAGGTGAGAAGCGGTGAGTCCCGGTGGGGAGGCCCTCCGTGTGACATTCGGATCGCCTCTTTGCCTCTTTGCGGGCTAAGGGAAAAGGTGAAAAACACAAGAAGGCCAAGGAATCTTGAACCCTTTTCCGGTTGATTCAGTTGCAGGAATGCCAACTGGAGAACACTTAAGGAAAGCCAAGAAAAATACAACATGTTCCATGAAGGAAAAGCTAGAAAGGAAATCACCCTCAGAATAGAATCAGGATTTGCAAACAAAGCACACCCGCAAACTCAGCAATCCCAAAGAAGCATCTTTAAACAGCACACCCACAGTTTTAAGAGTGTTCCGATCCAAAAGCAACCGTTTGACAGCTCTCTCAACATTGGGGTAAGCTAAGCTCTCAGCTGCCCCTTCTCGGCCACGCCGGGCGTGCCAGCAGCCGAAACGGCGCCGTTTCCGCCGGCAACGGCGCCGTTGGGCGCTTGGCCCAAAACGTACTTCACGTCGAGCAGCACGTCCCGAGCCGCCTGAACCGTCAGAAACAACCCGCCGTTTGCGCCTTTGCCTGGGAAAAATCACTACATGTCCAGTGATAGATTCCGTAACCCAAGGGAAAATAGAAGATATGAAGCACCAAGCCTTTGAAAAAACACACATGCCCAGCACCCCCTGTTCAAAAAACCCCCTTGGGGTCCCCTTTTGAGAGCTAGAGTCTGAGTGTTTAAGCTAAAACGAGCACCCAGGAATCGAATTGGCAACCAAAAGTTGCTTGTTGGCCAGTGGCATCAGTTCGTTACCAATAGCTCGCTGTGAGGAACGCAGAACAGTGAACTGCTAATGGAAGAAGCTGCAAAACCAACGAACAACCGCCAGACGGTTGTTAAATTGGGGCACCTATCTATGTCGTCTGAAAGTAATCAGTGGCTGGGATTTACTTGGCCGAGCCTGCTATTCAACTATAAGAAAAAAGGAGTGGACTCCTTGGGGTTACAAAAACCTCACACGCCTGAGGAAAATGGGAGAAAGACGCTCTGGGCCCTTTCGAAGTCAAAAGCAGACATGAGCACCAGCCACATGGGCGAGCTCCTTCTGCCCGAAAAAATCGCCTGGTATGCGCAGGCCAGGAGCCGTAACTGATACCTGGTAAGAGGAAAGCCAAAAGAACTACGGTTCTGCAACAAGCTTTTGGCTTGGCCGTGCGCACGAGAGGGGGGCGGTCGTCCGATGTAGGTGAGTGAAGCAACGAGCTTTTGGATCATCTTTGGGCGAGCAACCCTGGCAAAGGAGAAGCCCCTTGGCGCTTGGCTTGGTCACATTGGTTGATGGGCTGTGCGAGTCGGCCCAAAGCAGAAGTTCCAGGAAAAGGCCTAAGGGCTCCGACCAACCCTTGGGAGGAACCCGCCCCCCTTTTCAAAGCCTCGAGAGAAACTCCGCGGGATATGGACAATAGACTGGTGGGTGCCACGGTCCTGGGTCCCATATTAGGAACCCTACAACCCGTGAGGTCCACGACCATACCCAATTCCAAGCAGGGGCGGATCCGCAGCAGACATGAATCCACACAAAACCATCCCCCTTCGGTCTCTTTTGTGTAAAATAAGAACAAGCACCCAGGCCCGCAAAATGGCTGCGTTCCTTTTGATGTCCTTTTAAAACCACCAAACAAAGAGTACCCAAAAATAAGACAGCCCCTGGTCCTTTTTCATGCCACGTACGTGTGCTGTTCGGTTCTAGACCGACGCCTGGACGCTCGACCAGTTCACCTTCGCTAGCGCCAGCTCCGCCTGCTTTTGGCCTTACATCCATGCGAGACGGGAGCAGCAAGGGCAAATCACCTGCTGATCACCCCAAATACCTTTGTTTGCTTGTTTGTTTGCTTGTTTGTTTGCTTGTTTGTTTGCTTGTTTGTTTGTTTGCTTGCTTGCTTGCTTGCTTGCTTGCTTGCTTGCTTGCTTGCTTGCTTGCTTGCTTGCTTGTTTGTTTGTTTGTTTGTTTGTTTGTTTGTTTGTTTGTTTGTTTGTTTGTTTGTTTGTTTGCTAGCTTGTTTGTTTGTCTGGTTGTTTGTTCGTTCGTGTGTTGTGTTTTGTTTTGTCGTGTTTTTGCTTTTCTTGCTTTTTCTTTTGTCGGGGGGAAGAAAAGGAATTTCCAAAAGAGCCGAGGCGGATATTTCAAGTGGGGCCCCGAGCCTCTCACAGGCAGAAAGAATGAGGCTCGAGGATTTGAATCTTCCGAACCGCTCCGGGCAGGAGTCGTAGAGCCTGCTTATACTAACCCTGCGATGTGGGGTAATGAACAAATCATTTAGTCATGAATGTACTCTTGGTATCATCTTTGTGTTAGCCATTGCCACTTTTACCTCAAAGTCTAGGGTCCAAAAATTGACCTGCCAAGTCTTCAGAATCCATATGGAACCCAAACAACCGTTGGGGGGCTCATCTTTCTTGAGCGTGACCCGTGGTTGGCAAAGAGAAACCAAACCAAGAGATGGATCAAACAACGAGGGGCTGAAGCCGTCGCCCTGCAGCTCGTGGATCATCTGGCGCTCCCGCGTCTCCCCGGGCCTTGGCTACGAGTTGAGATCGGGGCGGAGGAAAAAGCAACCCCAACACTCACTGAAATGGTTCACCATGGCTATCACCCACTTACGATGGTAAGTCTCCGAAGTGGCTGTGGGTCAAAGACATGTACCAAAATGGCACCGTGGCCAATGGAACCAAAGACTAAAACCTGCGTAACCCTAAGTCGTTAATTTTGAGCCACGGCCAACTGGGATCACACCGGGCCCAAAACACGGAAAAAGCCTGATGAATTGCCTGCAACAGCCACAGGCTGGAGCATGCGGCTTTCTTGCCATTCCACACTCCAAAACTCCGGCATGTTGAGCTACACCAGGGTGAAGGTAGACGGCACAACTGCCTCCATGTGGGCAAGTAAAAGGAATGACTCAACCATTGGAAGTTGTGCCATCTACTTTCACCTACAGCCCCCACCGTCTGAGGGTAGAAAGTTTGTGCGCAATAACCCCGGATTCGCTTGGAGCAATCGACGGCATGATGATTCGGTTCTGTTGGTGGCTTAATTAAGAAGTACAACCTTCTTCAAGTGTTCTATCCCGAGTGAAGGGGCGTTTGAACCTTGAAGCTTGGGGCTACCTGGATATCGGATATGTCAGTCTGTAGTCACCAGGGAAACCCGCCTTGACTGCTGTTGCATACATGTGACGCTTGCAAAGGGTTGGTCAACTGAACCCTAGCAAAAAAGATGGCGCTTGGCTAGTGAGTGGGTCGGAGACATTTCTCTTACAAGTTAATGGTGGAAGGTTCAGCCAACGAGCAACCAACCCATAGAACTCCCCTGTTCCTCTCTTGGTAGGTTTCAGCACTGGCTCGCCGCTAGCACTCCATACAACCTGCCGGCTCCAGCGCAAGCGCCCAAGGCGCCGGCGCCTCATCGAAGAAGCTCCTGCGGGGGCAGTGCGAAATGTGGCGCTACGGTGCAATCGAAAATTGCTTCAGTTGGGTCCACTAAAGAACCTCACTCTCTTCTTTGCTTCACTGTTTTTGGTATGTGCTTCTAATTGCTTGATCTTTCTTGCGTCTCTTCATTTTTAGCGAGTTTTCTGCTCTGCTTTGATCGACCCACTCTTCTCCTCCTTATTCGGGTATGTCATTTTATGGGGGACCTCCAAAAATATGTGGCACCCAAAGCGGGTATCCCCGAAAAGGACAACTCAAAGGGGCAGGATACTAATTGGGTTATAGCCATGGGCACCCACTCACGTGACGTACCCGATCGCCCCTTTAAGAAACCCACTCAAAGGGAAACCCACCCCAGAAAAGTCTCCCGGCAGACCCGGCCGGCTCCTCTTGCCGTACACGGCCTGGGCATCCGCCGCCTCTGCCACGACAGCGCAGCAGTCCGTGCTCGCCGGGGGGCTGTCCTGGCCGATTTGAGTCGCTCCAAAGAGGGGACCCTGAAACGAACAACCAAAGCCCCGGAAAATAGGGATCAACCAACCAAAGACCCTCAAAAAATAGGGGAAGAGATCAGTTGTTTTTGAAATGAAGACCCTGTTGCTCGTGATTTGTTTCCGTTTGGTCTGCGTGCAAACACCAAAAGCTGGTGTTAGAAGTAAAGCTTGAGACGCGCCCATGCCGCAAAATCGAAATCGGTATCTCCGCACGTTCGCGGGCTGTTGCCTTCAAGACCTGGAGTCCCTTGGTCCGGTGCCCCTTCTCATGGTGTGGCGTTTTGTGTAAGGGAAACCAAAACGAAAACCTGCCCACGTTTGGGTCCAATGA